ACGCTTGTCACATAGTGAGTCACCAAACACCGCCACACAGCGTCGCCAAAGTGCCGTCAACGCAAGTATCGGCTCAACGCCAACTTCTACACCACCTCCTCACTTTGCGTGGATTTGCGTTGGAACCGACGCTCGTGTCGCGATGATAAATCTGGACGTGTGCGCCGATCTTGGCGAACGCAAGGTTTTCTGGCGCCGCCAGCGTTGATACATGAGGCCCCAGATGTGGGAAATTATGCGCCAGAAGAGGCAATGATAATGAGCTTGCATTGTTATTGAGACAAAATTTAAAAAAAAAAAAAAAAAAAAGGTTGTCTGCCAAAGTCTAAGGCCCAGTTTCCCATACAGGGCTTAAATAATACCAGGACTAGACTAATCTGATCATCTGGACAGTTCAAGTGGGGAAACACTTAAATACTCTTTTGATACAATGTATATAATTTTCCTGAGCAGGTAATCTTAAATGTACTATCTGTTGCACTCTGATAAAAAAAGTACTGTCATGGCCTCTACTATTGGAATCTTATGTCTAATATTTGAATATTTTTCTAAAAAAAGATGACATAAATTTGAATCAGGTGTCGGAGGAGCCCGAACAGAGTGGAGTCAAGGTAATCCATTTTCACCATAGACAGTGAAGCATTCAGCCCTTACTCTGAAGTTAAACCTGCCCTGGTCAGGTTTAATTTAAGTCTTAATTTAGACCTGGATTAGCCCTAGTCTTTCTTCAAGACAGGAGATCATCTAACTCAAGACTAGGACTAGTCTGAGACTTTTCTAATCCATATTCAAGAAAGCTATTTCAAGAAAGCCTGGATTAAAATGTGTATTAATCTAGAACTAGGCTTAATTCCTTTATGGGAAATGGAGCCTAGGAGTCTCCAGTCTGAGGGCTCTATTTTCGTGTCCCCCGGTGAGGCGGTGGAGGGTAGCGGACCCCGCGCAGTTGTATTTTCGTCTGGCTGAGCCCGGCGTACAGCCAGTTTGGTATTTTAGTGGACTGAGGCGCACCGAGGCCCGCCAAACTGGGCGTGGTGGAATGGCAGGGGGAGGTGTCAACAGAATCAGCTGCCGCAGTGACATTTTCTTGCTCACCACCGGCGTACAAAATGCGCTGAAAGCTCGCAGATTCAAACCTGGTCAGCTTTCAGAGCAGGCGGCATTTTGGTAGACCGGCGGCGTATCGGCATATGTCACCGATGCCTCACTGGCAGGTTTCCACAGTGTCAGGCACATTTCAGTGCAATAAATAATCATCAACAACTAATAATCTGAGTCAGCACATACATTTAGATCTATATTGATATATTCTGATCTATATCTGATCTGATGAGCGCGTTTGGACACACAACCTGACAGAATCAACACAGCTGAAACCGCATTAAATTAAATTGAATATCTAATAAATAGACACACATGATGAAGTTGACAAGATATGTAATTCATCTCCCTCCTTTTCTTGCTTCCTCTTCCTCTTATTCCTCGCGCAGCTTGACCTGGACATGTCTCTGTGTCCTCTCTCCGTCCTGCTGCAGCTGCAGCAGCTGAACAGATGATTTGTTTCAGCGATCAGATGAGTTATCTACTTTAAGCCGACATACGAATATTACAATATTCAGTTTTGTGAGCCAAATTTTTTTTTTATGCCAACATCTATGAAAGAAAGAGCCAGGCCACGGAGCGCGATGCGTCATTACCATAGACTGTATATAAGATGGACAGCCTGGTTCCGCCTTCCGCCTGTATACGGATTTGAAGCCAAAAAGCTCTCCGTAATTCCGGGTTTTTCTCCACTTCCTTGAAACCAGAGCTGCGCAGTAGCGTTGTACGCAGACGTTTTTGGCTGGGCGGGAGACTCAGAGCGATGACGCTCCGCTCAAAAAGTGCCCCCTCCTCGTTGCGACCAAGAATAAGTAAGTTCCACTTCTCCTAATATAATGTGAAATGTGTCAGCGGTCATGTCACATGTCGGTTAACACAGTTTACTGCAGAACAACTCATTTTTCCAATGCAACAAAAGAGAAAAACGATGGAAAATTTAATCCTCTTCTCCGCTAGCAAATCCGATTGGTCTTGATGATGAATGAAAAAGAGCTACGCACAAGCGGCAAGTGCAAAGTGTAGAGAATGACGCAATTTCCTGTTTTTATAACTCCTAATAACTTTTTAAAATGGAGCTGCAGAGAGAAAAAAGACCTGAACACAAACCAGTCTAATAATAACTACATGTCAACATCGCAGTCGGGGGTGAGAAAAGTGTATTTTCTGTGTAATTAATTTCTAAAGGCCGTCCGCCGCTCCATTCACTTTGCTGGCAGAAGTGGGGTTTATGACTTGTACTGCAGCCAGGCTCTAGGGGGTGCTGTTCTCGGAGTGGCTTCACCCGGCGAGGAGACAGACGGTGTCTATCTTATATACAGTCTAGGGTCATTACGCACAGATGGTTCCGATTTTATTGCCATTTTTGAATTTTATGATGTGATCTCTGTGCACAACCCACCTTTGTCACGTGAGGTTTGAATATATGCAACTTTATGTGAGTATCTTTATTTGTGGAAAGGGTGTTTGTCTTACCAGTGGGTCCAACATTACACACCCCAAATCCATCTGTGCTTATATGAGAGAGTGTGAAGGACGCCCTCTGCATGGCTTGCAGTGAAACTTGTTGAGGAGCTGCCTTCTGTCGCCATCGTGTGGCATTACTGTCTTCAGACATCTCTTGATCTTCTTTGACTACTTCACGAAAATAGTAATGCGCCTCGCCGGATTTAAAGGTGAGGAGACGAGCTGATGTTATTGGTCAATACAGGTCTCCGCTGTGTCAAACCGACTCCACGCCCTCTGTACTCCCTCGCTACGACTTACGCCGCTGGGAGGAGCTGAGTTAGGGAGGGGGAATACTTACGCTGGGCTGCGCTGCTCACCAAAAAAAAAAAAAATTCTGCTTGGGAATGCCTTGTCGGCGCGGCAGACCTGACTTACGCAGCGCATGCACCGCATCGCCAGCGAGGCACAAAAATAGAGCCCATGAGCTCTATTAAGCCAAACTATTGTGGCAAACATGAGGCAAAATGGTAATGTACTCATACATAAATATGCATGTGCAGAAATCACTGTCTAAAAGCACTAATATATATATTAAAAAAAAACAAAAAACAAACAAAAAAAAAAAACATTAAAACATGTTTCATGGAAGCATGCTGCTGTACAAAGCAAGAGGAAAACTGTCCAAACAAAACACACGCCAGGAAGTACCAAGTACAGTGCTAAAACACTGCAGTTGTGACAGAATAGAAAAAATATGAAGCTCAACACTTTGGGCACACAATGCTTTCTCCTGGACTCAAAGAGAGAATTGCCTCTTTGAAAACAAAACAAGACAAGAACTCAGCTCTCATCTAATATGAGTGAACTGTAGCCAGGCAGCTGAAGCCTTATAAAAAGTTTCATGTGGTTGTGTGAGTGTATGGACGTGTGTGTAAAAAGAGAAAAGCATCTCTTCTTTCAGGAAATTCATTGAGGTAGAGATACTAGAGGGGTCAGAATGTCAGCTTTCTTTGTGAGCCCAGATGAAGACAGCAAATCTCTGATGGCACAATAAAGATTACAGAAGGAATCAAGTTGCTGCCATGACCTCTTTTTTATTTTCTGTCTCCATTTATTTTGTAGGACCTAAAACATCTATCAACTGTGTTAGTAGACTAGAAGATTTTCAACGTGAACCACAATCAGGGCTGGCATGAGACTGTGACCGTGACCAACTTGATGTTGTGACCTGTAAGTTTGGGAATTGAATCTATGGGTTAAAACTGTGGTTCTTTGGTTTGTTTTATGGGAAAAAGAGATTCTGTGAAGTTAATGTGTATTTTAATGATACTACATTTGTGTATGTTGATGCTGACAGCCCAGAAAATAACACCAAACACCTCCGACCTTCACAGAATACTCTTTCAGTGCAACCTCGTGAAATCATAAAAGTTAGCTTTTAATGATTTTGGTAAACTGAGAGAGCTTGTTTCGGTGTTGTCTTGAAGCATCATGTGTAACTCAAGCCATGCCCTTTATTTTTGTGGTGCGTCTCACCAGCACTGTACTGTTGTTTTGACAGTCCATTTCCTTAATTGGTAACCATAGTAACTGTTTTAAGTTTCGTGATGAATAATTGCTTTTATATTAAGAACATTTCCAGACATTAACACATTGTATAGAAGTTACAATACAAGCAGTAACATAGACAATTTTTGTGTAAACGGCAGTACATGAAGAGCCTGTCCTCATTTTAATCTACAAAATGCAAATCCGATTTTAAGATCAGTAAAAAAGTGACTCAAGAAGAAAAAAAAGTAACAGCATCACTCGTATTAATAGTTTTAGTTTAGTCTAGAAAGGGTCTTGTGGTAGTTCAGGGGGTTGGGTGACATACTACACAGATGACATGTTGCATTTCTACATACTTGCTTCATGACATACTGGCCTTTATTTCCAAGTACAGAAACTCTAAGAGTTTTGTACAGTATGCCATCATTGCACCTAATGACTTGATTCTTGAAATTAGATTTAGACTTCTCTCTGAATATTTCTACATCCATCATGAAATTGTATTCAACTTTATTCTCGATTTCTAATTTCAATTTCTATCTTGTTCCCTCATCTCACCCTTTTCCCGTAATCCTAATTGTCACTTGGTTACATCCTTGTTAATCTGAAGCTATTTTACTGGTGACCAGTAAATTTTAGGGTTCAAATCAAAGATTTAAGATTTCCTCAAAGGTACATTTTTTTCATTTAGCTTTATCTATAGATAAATGATAATAATTTCTCAGAAAGGTTTTGTTTTTAAATATTATTTATTTTTATATTATTCGTGCTTAGATGGCAAATCTCATTTTTCATTGCATTGTATTTTTATAATCTAAAACAGTCCTGGAAATGAAAAGGATTGAAATCTGACGGTGAACCACTCCAAACATCCATGATGGATTAATGGAAACAGTCTCTGATTTTTTTTTTTTCATTTTTATTATATTTAAGTGTGAACAGTTTTTACAGGAAAACAGCACTTTTTTAATATTTTCATTTATCGAGTATCTTGTTTTATGACAGTAACTACTATTTACCTGACACAGTGAAGTACACACTTGTTCTTGTGTTACTCAACGTGTGTATACTTGACACTGTGCTGTTCACAGACAGAGAGCTGGCACATAATGCAGATTTTTGGTCAGGGGTCAGAGATTCAAGACACTACGAGGACTTTCCAATTGCACCTGGCAGACTCTTTAAATGTAGCTCTCAGCGGGCTTGGTCGCGGATTTTTGTTTGCCAAGCAGGTCAACACAGGTAGGGGCGGGTTTCAGAGGGCTTAACCGGCAACGCCACAACCTGTTCCAGTAAGCCAGAGGAGCTGGGTCATGATGAAAGAGCTTGTTCACACACAAAAAATGTCCACAGCGATGGGCAAAGGAAGACGAATCCTCTTAGTGGGAATTTCCTGTTGTGGCTCCATCTGTTGCTCCATGATGGATGACTGTCAAGATGGAGACAGGGCAGGAAAAAGATCAGATGAAGAAACACAGCTTTTCTTGTTTTCTTCAGTAGACATATTTAAGACCTGGAAGTCTCTGCTACGTCATCAAGCAGTTTATTCTTGTACCTAAAATTAAACCTTGTTTTCTATAGGAATATATAAATTAAATTTAATGGGATGGATTTAACCCTTTACTGCTGAAGCACTTTTATGAGAAGCGAACTAATAATGTCATCTATTAGATATATTTAATAAATACCAGACGATACTTTCCCCAAAAAACTTATAGGGGGGGTTGTTTTTAAGATATATTTTCATCAAATTCCTAGTATGCATGACTGGAAGTTTTTTTCCCAATCCAAATATTACATTCAGTGAGAGACAATAAAGGATGGGGGTCTCATTAAAATATATAGCACAAAAATTATTGTATCGTATAACTATTATTTGTAAAGGCAAACACAATTTCGATTATCTTTTAATGTTAATCTAATCCATTCAATCGTATCAAGTGCAAGTTTGAAACGAAATCTTTTAATGTCTTGTTGACATACGCCAAACTTCTTTAGCTGCACAGCTCTTCCAACCACACAACCAAAGCTGTTGGGCGATTTGGATACTGGATAGCAGCATATGGTTGGTAGAGTCTCTAATACTCATGAGGGAAAAGAGATTGAGTGGATTCTCAGATTCTTGGAAATAGAAAGTGAGTCCCCCCACCCCCCACACCTTTTTTTTTCTCTTTTAGAAAGTGGTGCAGATTGTGGATGAAGACCCGCCTGGAAAGATGGTTTTGGAGAGGATGAAAGTTTTGAAAAGTCAGGCAAAGTTTTTAGGGACTGTTTCATAAATGTTAAATCAGATATCTCTAATTTCAGATATTGCCAGAGTTCATGAACCTAGTCATGGACAGTCATGGTTTGTTGTGTGAAGGAAAATGTGCTAATGTGTATAGAAGGCTTTGTATGAACCATGACTTCTGCTTTTGACCATTTGCAGAAAAACTTCAGTCAGTCAGGTTGCTCATATTTTCCAGCTGGGAAAGTTAGTTGATGAAAGAGCGTTTTTCTCACGAGACAAAACTTCTCTCCAGATTTAAAAACTGCAGAGGAAGATTTCAAAATGTTCAAACTTAACACAACTAGAACTTTCACAAAAGTGCCAATATCAAATAAAGGTTCTCCCTTTTAAGTATCCATATATCTTGACTCTTTTTAATTGCCTATTTTTATTACATTAACTTTAATTGTTTTTATCTTACCCTATAGCACTTTGAGATTGTAAAAATGTAAAGAACAATACAAACAAAATGTATTATTATTTATCATTAGGTGTTGTGCCGTCAAAATAAAGCCTTTTGACTTTATTTGTGAAATGGTCTGGCATTGTTTTCTTGACTATAGCAAGTGGCTGCAAATGAATGACTTCAAAAGCTGAATGATTTGGTTAAAAAAAAAAGGCTGAAAAGTTGTGCTCAATATTTGGCACCGTTTAACTCAGATATCACACACAACATGATTTCTAATGATTTATAAATTAAGTTATACAGAGTTGTGGTCTAAGCATTTTTTGTAAGTCCAAATTTCCCCCAAGAGTGAAAAACTGCAAGTACCCTTTTTAAAAAGTGTTCAAACTTGACATAGGCGGAGCCAAATTTTTGAAGTTACACTATCAGGGAAATGTTTTGCTGTCAAGGTCATACTGAAACTGAACCGACTCGAAACTTCCATAGAGGGGTTGGTTTTCTTTTGGGACAGGAATAACTGTTGATTTTTATTCTATTTATTTCATTTTTCAATGCTAATTAAGGTAGCTTATGTATGAAATGCATAGTGTTTCTAAAATGTATTTATGTTGGTTCAAAAAGCAAACACATTAAGTGGTTCACAGATTTTTGGAGGAATACTAAACTACCAAGGCTTTTTCGTAAATGAAAAGGAATCAAGTAAGGTACCTGTAATAAAATCAGAACACAAAAATATTATAATTATACCACAGACTCTTAAGAAGAACAGCAAACTCTACGTCAAAATGACTAAACAATAAAAAGTGAGATTGTAAAAATCAGATTCTATTTATTTCATTTTACTATGCTAATTAACGCAGCTTATTTATGAAATGCACAGTGTTTCTAAAATGTATTATTGTTGGTCCAAAAAGCAAACACATTTAGTGGTTCACAGATTCTTGGAGGAATACTAAACTACCAGGGTTTTTTTCGTGAATGAAAAAGAATCAAGTAAGGTACCTGTAACAAAATCAAAACACAAAAATATTATAATTATACCACAGACTTTTAGGAAGAACAGCAAACTCAATGTCAAAAAGACTAAACAATAAAAAATCAGATTGGCTACATGAGGAAATATTCATATTTATTTTGTCAGACTCAGACAAAAGTAACTTTCCTTGCCTTATAGTATTTCTGATAATACATTACAATCAATTGTAGTTGGTGATTAGTTTGAAGTTTTTGACAAACGGGTTTGTGGCTCTAACTCTTGTCCCAGAGAAAATTTAAGTATTCGCCACATCACTGGAAAATGACTTCAACTCATGTCGTCTTCTGCTCAGTCTGTACGATGGGAAAATTTATCTGTGGCTCTGAAACACAAACCACAGCGACAACAGCACAAAGCATCAACACACAGCAGCTGATTTATGCCCACAGTTCTTATCAATTAGTAGAGAGCTAAGCCGGGACGTTAGCATCCAAAACCTACGCCATGATTGATGACTGCCATTTCATCAAGGCATTCATTTCTTCATGACTGTCAGCCGAATCACGTTTTACTGGGCCTCAGTTTTATGGCGCTGAGATTTATTATGATGGTAAAAAGTGTTGTCTGCTTTGCAACAGGCGTGCAACATCCCCCCACATTTCTTTTTAACTATCACAGACACCACCCTAAAGCAACGACGACACTGATTTCTGTCTTAGCCTCACACAGATTAGTGCCTTGAATTAGCCTTTTTTAATTCTAAGACAGTTAAACTTTAAGTGTCCTTCCCCTCATGTCCCCACAGTTCGCTAGTGAAAGTTCTACAGTGTCTGTAAAGTTCACTTAACAAGGAAGTGAATTAAATCCTGCCAGGGCTTTTGGTCGATTTAATTAAAGCTGGAGCAACTAAGTGGGATTGAATTAAATTTTTGGCAGGGGTAAACCAATATGCTGGGAAGGTGGTGGTGAGGTCGGGTGCAGTCAACTATTTAGGACAGATAAGCAGACAGTCTCTGTTTTTTTTCTTTGTCTTGAGCTCTGAATAAATGTCTTTTTATAATTAGGAGTGTCTCCATGTCTTCTGTAGCAGTGCAGTTTAACTTCAGAAAGTTGCAAACAAAGTCACTTTTGTCTGGTAGGACAAATCAAAATAAATAAAACTTAAGGTAAAGACTGAGTTTTTTCAAATAGGGTTTGATTTTTCCACTTGTTAGGGTTTAACACAGTCAGTCCTCCTCCTCCTCTTTGTGCAAACGTGCTCTCGGCTAAGGTTAATCCACATGCTAAAGGTCCCCTTAGATTAGAGGAGTCAGTGGCTCTTTCTCAGCGCAGGGTCAGGGATCACACACCAACTTTTTATGGAGAGCCGGCCATTTTATTTCCTTCCTCTTTTTCCAGCTGCCGATGCCGACTGAGTGCAATACCTCACCGTAAGCCCTCTGGAGCTTGAGGTGAAATCGATTCCAGACCAGAGTGGCCGTTTTGAATGGGTTAAGTTCAAGCTCAATATGCTAACGGATAAAGATAGCTTAAAGTGTGCCAACCCTCCTTTGCTTCATTTCATCCTCACTGACATGACGTAGCCTGTGTTTAACTCCAGATAACGGGAGTCACTGGGGGGATAGAGTCAAATTCTCTGATTTAATTCAAAGTTCAAATCCATTTAGATGAACTGAAAGCTGGCCTCTTTCAACAGCCCAGATAAATAATTTATATTCATTAACATCCAAGCAATAAAAACAGCCCTACACCAACAAATGTATCAGCATTTTTGCTTGTTTTATGCACATTTTTATTTTTCTGCATATAGGTTTTGAGATGACTCAAGTCCTTGACGCATTTAAAAACTGAAAAGAGAATTATCTTTAAGATGGTTAATTCAGAGTTAAATTCAAACTTTTCTTTTAAAAATATACACATATTTGTATATGTGCGAGACAGTTATCCATAATTGAGCCCCAGGCACATTAATCTATTTTGATGCCACTTCTCTTCTGAGAAAACTTACTTTATAGGTCAAAACATACCTAAATTTTCATGGCCTGCATCTACAAACAGCTGCATTAAAAAATGAGAGCCAATACTCAAGGCCACCTTTAGCTTATATCAAAATATTATTCTAAATAGAGAGTTTCACGTGTTTTGGTAAAAAGGACACTTGAAGGGTTCTACTGTTGACCTCTCGGTGGCAGTGTTGATGCAATGACACGTCACACAGCTTTGCAAAGGAAACCCACAGCACTCATCCACTCTGATGCACAACAAAACATTTCCATACTTTACTTCTGTTTTGCTAACAGTTTACCTAACAATTCATACTGTTTTATGATGATATTTTAATAAAAATATTATAACTGAATCGTCTGATTAAACTGCTGCACAAAAGTTTTACTTTGACCATGTTAGCCGAATATGTTGGTGAAAATCTAAAACTAAATGTGTGGTTGTTGATTATTATTCTTATTTATATAAAAGGGTATATTTATAGATTTAATATAAAGATTTTTCAGTTTCTTTTTGACTTATTCTCATTTAGAGTTTTTGTTTAAAATAATTAAATAATTTGGCAGATAAAATTAGTTTTGAGAAAATGCAAAATTATAGGAAAATTTTCTTCTCTGCCATTGTAGAAATCTTCAATACAAACCTGCAAGGAACAAGAAGCTATTTCAGATAAGTTATTAAAAATTTAATGTACCACTATATTTTTATACAGCAGCTGCAAGAAACAAGACTTAAGTTTTGAGTAGTAGTTTCATGGGTGTTACTAAAGTATAATTTTTCTAATTATTTTTAATTAATTTCAGGATAAAACTGCAATGAAATAATCCACATTTATATGCTGCTTTAATGATTTATCATTAATTGTTTTAGAGTTAAAGAGAGTTAAAGGTTGTGCGCAAACATCATAATTTCTATCAATGCATCTCATGATGTGGTTCATATGCAGTATGTTCCCTGTACAGTAAATGTATCACCACTTTGTTTGGTCATTAAATCATAAACCCACATTTTATTTGTATTGATAATAGACTCTAAAGGATATACAAAGCGATTATATTTGCATAAAATGATGCAGACATGCTAAATAATGCTGACTTTGCATTCCTGATGATATGTAGCTTCATTTCCCAGCATGCCTCTGGTCAAAAGGATGCTCTCTCATAATGTAATTTAGTGATATATCTGATAAACTGTGAGCTGCAATTTTTCAAGCATATCTGAGCTGAAATCAGTTTCTCCTCACTGCACTGCATTATTAGAAGATAATTTAACAGTTGATTTGTTTCACGTATCATGAGGTTTGTTTTCTATTTACTGTGGATTTCTGTGATGAGTGTAACTCTAAAACAGGCTGTTTTGATTCTGCTGAGACAAAGCGCACATTACTGGAATAGTGCAGTATGGTGTGCTTTGGTTTTGTTGCATTAAGAGGCCTCAGAGGAACAGGAGAGGATTTATACCATTCAGACATCTCTGTTCTCTATTAAACTTATTTTATTACTCTGCCGCCTTTATAACATAGCGTGGCAGAAAGATCTCTGTGGGCAATATTAGAGGCGTATTAATATCATTTCTCCAACATCTTTCACTTCTCTTCAGGCTCCGCTCAATACTGAGTCTGTATGGAACTCATTATGGGAGGGGAAAGTTGCTTTCTCGGTGCCCTGCCGTTTTGTTCCATCTGTGTTGAAGTCACCTGAACATGATCTGAAGTCAGCCAGTCAAGTGACCTGGAATCAATACAGTCAAACCCAGCGGAGGCAAATAAATCAAGCCGGCTAGTTTAACCCGTGAGAGCCCTGCTGCTCGGTTTCAACGTGGCACATTACAAGAAAGGCATGTTTGATGACAAATCATTTATTCTGAATTCTTGCTTCCAGAGCAGCTTTCTGTACTTTCTTATGCTCATGAGGATCACTTGTACTGTGAATCCTCCTGAGTACTTTTGAGGACCAGCTTTTTATGGGCTATATGTCTTTTCTTCAGTCTCCATCACCCCCCCCCCCACCCCCCACCCCACCCCACCCCACCCCCCCGTATGAGAAGAAATTTGACAGCTTTGTGTACATTGGAAATTTCCTGCATACTTTCTCCTGGGGTATCTCTGAATCTAAAACAAAGGAGAAATGTTTTGGCATATCTATAACGTCTGCAGCTGCTTCACTGTATCCCAGTGGCATCTGTCTCTGTGGCCTGTCATATAAAAACCGAGCAGTGTTTTACTCTTTAGTCATTGTAAGTCTGTGTTGAAAGATATCGAGAGGCTTCTTGGGGATGAAATGAGTTTCATACTTCTTTTAGGAAACAATAAAAATATGGCTATGGCTTAGAAGACTCAGTAAATTTACATGCCGTTTTATGCCAACTTTGGCCCACTCGTTAAAGAGTAGACTCATTAAAACAGCAGAAAACCCATAAAAGTTTAAGCGATTTTAATTATTTACATATTTATTTCTAAATCTAAGATTTTTATTTATTCTGGCAAAATAATGGCTTGCCAGAATCTTTTGTGCTTCATGCAAAAATGGCACAATTCCAACAATTCCCAAAGATTATTTTTGACATGGTCCAAGCAAATGTCACTTAGACCGATTGCAAGTTTATTATGATTCATGCACAGACAGAGAAGTTTTTGCACCCAGGGGGAACTTGCATTTCACTTTGACTCTCCTTTGTTGGACTGTGTCATTGAAAATAATCGCTGCACAGGTCAACCTCACTGACATCCCGTTCTGTTTAATCACATGATGCCGTCCTTGTGACGCATGAAAGATGGTTAGCTACTCTGAGTTATGCCACAAGAAGTTGGAGGAATAGTGTAACTGGATCTGTTTTTCAAGCTACTAATGCTTCACATGACAATACCAGATACAATTAATCATTTAGTAGTTTTCCAAATGTAAGTGACAGCAAAATTTACTGCACAAATGTGAATTGATGCAGAAAGGAGATATTAAATATCCATTCACTGTTAAACTCCAATTCCTTTTCCTATATTGAAAAGAAATCACTCAATATGCAAAATTAAAGTGCCCTAGAAGTAAAGTTTTTTATTTTGTTTTGAAGTCATTAAGCTGACCAAACAGTTCTTTTTAATTTCACTCAATGTTTTTGAGTGAGTGGAGGCAGACTCAACTTTGCAGACTATTATTTTCAATTATGGAATGAACTATAAATCCTGTCTGTATTTTTCTGACCTCACTTTAATATCTTCAATAAAACTGTAGAAAAATAATGCCACAATCAAGACTAAGTTTATGATAACTTTTTTAATTTTCACTAGATACATATATTTTTATTGGCATTACATTTCAAGCTGTGTGACTCATTTTGAGAGTTAAAAAAAAGAAAGGCTGTGATTTGTGTATGGAAGCTTTAATTGTAACTTTATGTTAATTTAAAAATATCATTTTAGTCATTGTGTTTGCTTTATTTAATCCAGGCACACAGTTAATCTACAAATTTTATTAATCTTTTTTTTGCATGCGATTTACAATTAACATTTCTGCTTGTGGAGTAATTGTTGTTGCATCCTCAAAATAAGTAAATAATTTAATGCTCTATACTTATTGACTGTGAAATAGGATGAAAAAAGACGATTTTAAATATTTGGAGGGTATCAATCAAACAAGGGTATAAGGTTTAGACTGAACAACTTACAGATTTATTTATTTATTTTTTTTTTTTTTGGGGGGGGGGGGGGTAATTTTGCACTCGTGTTTTTATTTTTTTTATATATTTTTTTAACGGTTAAGCTTCATTTTTTCAAAGTACGCAAATTTAGTAAGGTCTCGAGGAAGACTTAGAGGAAAAAAGCAGAGGGCTAAATCACCAGATATTAAAAAAATAATAATACAATAAAGAAAACCCGGTAAAGAATATGTTTTAACTTACTTTGATTGTTCCCTCGTGCTCGTCACCTGTTACAGCGCCAAATTTACTCTAATGGTTCACAGCAGTGCGCCTCACGTTTCAGCAGTTCCGGCTGAAATAACCACCAGTATTTCCATTCCGAGAGGTGTGACTGTGAGAATTAGTCGCTCCATCTTTTAGAAATGCAGCACAAAGTCCCAAAACACTTAATTATCGCTAGGTAAGGCACGGTGGACGGTCCTCCTGCGGTTGATTGACAGCGGGGTAAATTAAAGTGGCTTGGGAGGTGATGGAGGATCTTCTTAACGAGCGGTTGCGTCGACAACTCAAATGTTATCACCCCTGTTATCATAAATTATAATTATACATTTGCAATTTCATTTTTTAAGAAACTGGGTTGGTAAATTTTGCGCGAATATGTAAAGCTGTGTTTCTGTTTTGCTAGGTACTCCCCTCCGTCTGTGGTTTTTTTGGTCTCGCCCAAACTTGGTTCAGATTTGAGTTGGTTTGCTGTGCTATCTGGGATCGCTCTACTGGAGGTGAAGGACCGCCTGTCCCCTCTCTGTATATGCTGTCAATGGCTTTCGGGGCGTATTTTATTTGAATGTCTTGGCGTTTTAAGTGACCAATAATGGATATTCTATGGATATTATGGACCATACCGGCCGTAATAGCTGTTGAAGGTAAGCTAATGTTTTCATCTCAGTAATGAAAACCCGCATCATTTTGCCGGTTTGGAGTTTAGGACAAAGCGCGTGCGTGTACGTCACTGTATTCCATCCATGGGAGACCAACGTAAAATTAACGGCTCTTCATCACCTGTTATTTCTGGTTGTTAATCAATAATTTGGCGTTTATGGCGCTTAAAGGCTCAAAACAACACACAGGGGTTGACGCTGAAACACAAAAACAAGCACCTTCAGCATCTTGTGCAGGTACACGGATGCTCTCCAGCGTTATTAACGCCAACTAAATTGCGGGTTTTTTCGTGAAATGCTGCCCGGTTCGCTCGGTTGGACACGTTAAATCCGTGTCAGGCAGTTCATGTGCGTGGCCGTGGAGGTGTGTCACCGGTGTCGTCTCAGTTGGTGGCACAAATGTAGAGATAAAGGAGTATGCCTCCAAAAGTGATTTATCACTTATTTCTGGCAAAAATGTGACAGTTTTTTTGCAGTCAGTTTAATTTACTTAAGGCTCTGTCAGGATTGTAGACAGGCGTTTTACACAAAGCTTGGCAGAGCAGTATACGAGAGCCCGGCAGCGTGGCGCAAAGCACAATGAACAGGTTGAATGGTGATAATTATCTCTGTTTTTTGTGCCTTTACTGTAGTGACAGAAAGTAACTGTATTGCTGCTTTACCACACCTTTTGCCAAAGTGATAAAAAATCTAACAAGGTGTTTGATCCTCCCATAACCTCTGCAGATAACCCAAACTGTCAACACATTCTGTTAGTTTATGTTATAGCAGTCTGTGCTCAAAATTATAAAATTATAATTTGGACTCCTTTCCCACTGTTGACAAGACAGTGGGAAATTTGCCACACTGACCGATGGAAAATATAATCCCTGTCATACAGTTATTCAGGCTATTTTAAGGATTTTGTCAGAAAACAAACATGTCTTCTTCCTCTGGTCAGTTTAACTAAACCTCATAATTACAGGTGGAGCAAAGGAAGTATGTAGAAACTGAAGCAAATGTAACCACGGGATAAAACACCAACAAAAAGAAAAACAGGAAAAAGCTTCAGCTGCTTGTTTGCTGTAAAATTTGCACGTATGTACAAGCATCCCAACTTAGTGTAAGACAGAGGGAAAGGATCTATATGTAAAACAGGATTTAAAAAAGAACTGTGACACACTCTTTTACAATCATCATCTGTATTTGTGTAGTCTTTTATTTTTTTTGCCTTATAGTCTGGTTTTTAGTAAAGGGTAATTTAACAGCTTTTATTGCATGTCACTATTGTCACTTAGAAATTGTTTGTTGTTTTTGTTTTCAATTGAAGTTTCATCAAGACCAGACATTGCTCTAGAATAACTCTGCGATTTTACGAATTTCTTTAGCATCCAAAGTGCCTAAACGTCACAGCAACCAGTTTGACACATGCATTCCGTACAAACCATTGATTACATTATTTAACACTTCTCTAAAAAAATTGAATTAAATTTACCGTAAAACATTTTGTAATCAATTAAATACATGTTATGCCACTATGTCACTTGTCTCGGCATTTTGCTCAGTGCATGTAAAAATTGTCTTTTAATACAAACATAATATTTGTGTAAAATGCATTCAATCGGAAATACACTAATAATATTTGGTCACTGTGTCATCCTGTGCAGACGTGAATGTTATTCAATACCACAGATTTGCTTTCTTTTCATTACGGATATTGTACGGCTTGATCGCTATTATAAAGGTTGTTTATTTTTTCATTTTATCCTCGCTGTTTTCGCCAAGAGTAAAGCAAACAACAGGATGTGAAAAAAGCCAGTAATAACAACATATCCACACCACGCAACGCTCTGTTCCTATTCACTTCTTGATTTCTGGGATCCAAATGTGGCCATTGTTCGTATTTGTCTGCATTTACTGTCCGGTGTTGCGCTAAGAGCATGCAGGGCCTCGGCCTTGCTCTTCGAAGAGGTATTTGAGTGTTTTGGAGTGCATGTCTTTCTCGATTAGGAAGGTGTGGCTTTATTTCTGGTTACACTTCATATACAGTCTGCACGGAACAGGAAACTGCACCTTTTGGACCTTTGGTTTTCCTCTTCATGATTGAAAAGAATTAAGCTAGTCCCATCGCCAACCCAGTACGGCTCCCCCCTCCATTTTACCCTGTGAATCACCCTAGTGGAACATCCAATGGAGTTGCAAGGATGGCTTACGTATGAGAAATAAAGGGTTGAAAAAGAGGTCACTGCAGCTCTAATCCAAAGAAGAAAAAAAAACATCCCAGCATGCATCAGAAAAGAACCCTCCAGTGGATCGTTTTGACATGTTTAGTGCTGGGACACCACATTTCCTCCATTGTTGTTTTAGTTTAATAGAGAGTGACATCCTAGCATAGCTGTGTTTTCTTTATACTCATGAACACCACCAATGAAAAGTGTATTTAATTATTCTGTACCGTCGCATTGCATTAAACGTTAGTCGCCAAATTATTTTGAAAACAGTGTGGTAAAAAAAGAAACTAGTGGACCATTAGTACCTTAATATTTCTTTTGTACAAACCTGTCAAAGGGCTTCATATAATCAGTGAATCAGGCAGAGACCATACTTGAGCGGATGAGAGGATTAAAACTTGAGCCAAAGTTAAGAAAATCCTAGCTTTGTCACACGCATCCATTTTGCCAATAGTGTCAACACTGTCTGTACACCATGCACAGCCTGTAAGAGGGGCTTCAAATGCTAATGTTGTTTTTTTTTTTACTCCTCATTTTATCTCCATTCAGACTACCCCAAGTTCTTCCTCTAAAGAAACAGCCACATGATTGATGAGCATAAATGGCTTTCATGAATCAGGGGCATTCAAGTATTATTCAAAGGCATTATTTACTTTGTGGAATGTGAAACAAGTCTAAATTGTTGATTAGCGTTAATGTAAGCTGCCATTGATGCCACATCTTATTGGTTTAGTTAACAGGAACAGACAGGTCCTTATTCGAAAATTAATGGCGGTACCACTGCCAAGGAAATTAGCTTAGCTATGTCAAACATGTCTATGAAAACACACTGTGGATTTATCCCTTCATTAGTCCACCCATTCATTGTCATCAGTGTTCAGTTGACAGCCAAAGAACTGCGCTCATCTAATTCTGTTGAGTGGAAATTTTCCAATTCATCCGCGGCCATAAAATTGAAGTAGCCTGTATTGTTCGGGAGAGATGAAATTTACTAGACGGATCATTTGGCTTTTCCGACCCCCCCCCCCGCACGCTCTTGCTCTTCTGTTGTGGTATTACAGTTTGTGCTCTGCAAACATGGCAAATGTTTTTTCCTCTGATTTAATAACAACCTCCTACAGACTTGTGTACAAGTTTTTGTTGAGGTTAGCAAGATGATAAATCACTTTGATGCAACCTTTTTTTTCCCCCCTTTTAGGAAGCATAATGGGACTGAAACCACAGCAGAGGATGGTGAAGTGGGGTAGAATGAGATCACAGCATGGAGTCTTTAAAAAATGTCTAGCAGATTTGATTGCATTTCAGTATGCATTGCATTCCTTTAGTGCTGTGTACAGCACTGGAGCCCATTCAGAGTAAAGTTGGCAAACACCGGCCACGCTTATGTTTTTAATTCTCCATCTTTTAAATATTTATTTTGATTTTATTTAGCAAATGGCTTATGCTACATTTCTAGTTTGCATAACCCTTATGGTTTCTTTCTCTCTGACAGTTTAAGGAAGTCTGATATTTCAGGACACATTGTTAATGTTTTGAAAAACCGTCTAAGTTTAGTAAAGCTGCTTTCATATGTAAATCCAGTTGCTGTTTTTGACCGGAATTGTTTTGTAAAGGATGGACATTTTGAGTGTAACATGGAAGCTTTATGTTTAGTGGAGGAGTAACAAAAGACAGTTGGAGGCGGGCTCTGAAATGGGATTAGTTAAAGGTAAAACGAGTGACCGCATACAATTCTGTGTTTTCTCAGTCCACCCAATGAGCAGATGCAGGGAGCTGGCCTGCACGCCAACCGCCACAGTAGGCTTTCACAAAGAATCTGTCTCTATTCAAGCCTTAATCCATGCTGCCGAGGGCCCGGGCATTGTCACTTTGCATGCAAAATTTCAATTAGTGCTGGTACCAGTTGTTTCACTTGAAGGGGGGTGTCACATTTCAGAGATATCTGTGGCTACCTTTAGGCTGAGATTAAGGCAGAAATGTCCCTGCTCTGCATAAGGAAACTTTGAATTACGTAAGGTTACTGCCATTGAGCCGCAGTGCTGTATCATAGCCCCTGAAATGTATTAGACTGGAGTGGTTTAGGTTTGAACTTGCTCTGATTCAGTTTATCATCTTAAACCTATCAGGAGTAAAAGGAGTCCCTTGGTGCACAGTCCCTTGAATCTTTACACCTGAGATTGGATTACTCAGTTTAAATATTTTTGCAAGTTGCTCCTGACCCCAGCTGGTTCTACACACATCACATAAAGCAGGTAGCAATATGCTGCTGGTTTCAGCATTTCTGTGCCTATTTTTTCCTTGTAATTCAGGGAACTAGGGAGGTGTTTTTCAAGGTTATTGATTTGCATTA